CTCACAAGACCTCAGTCCAGCAGGGAGACATCAAGCCAGACACCCTGACCCTTTCATTTTCCATAAAATTAGACAATCTCAATTCAAATTTAACATCTTCTTTGTGTTTCTGTGATGGGGAGGAGAGAGGGAGGAGGCATGTCTACAGGACCATCTCTGGCTGCAGTTTCCTGCCCCGCTCACCTCCTGCCCACAGCCCGGCCAGCACAGTAAGTAGAAGACATCACCCTCTCGGTTCTGGCTACACATGTGCTCAACTCACACACATGCCTTCCATGGCATCACCTTCCAACAAAGGATCAGCAAGATAAAGTGAACTTATGTAAAAAATCAAGTGGGCCTTAGGAAGCATCACTACGAACAAAGCTAGTGGAGGTGATGGAATTCCAGTTGAGCTATTTCAAATCCTAAAAGATGATGCTGTGAATATGCTTCACTCAATATGCCAGCAAATTTGGAAAGCTCAGCAGTGACCACTGGACTGGAAAAGGTCAGTTTTCATTCTATTCCCAAAGAAAGGCAATGCCAAAGAATGCTCAAACCACCGCACAATTGCACTCATCTCACATGCTAGTAAAGCTCAAAATTCTCCAAGCCAGGCTTCAATAGTACATGAACTGTGAACTTTCAGATATTCAAGCTGGTTTTAGAAAAGGTGGAGGAACCAGAGATCAAATTGCCAATATCTGTTGGATCATCAAAAAAGCAAGAGAGTTCCAGATAAACATCTATTTCTGCTTTATTGACTATGCCAAATCCTTTGACTGTGTGGATCACAATAAACTGTGGAAAATTCTTAAAGAGATGGGAATATCAGACCACCTGACCGGTGGTCATGTATGGATGTGAGAGTTGGACTATAAAGAAAGCTGAGCACCAAAGAATTGATGCTTTTGAACTGTGGTGTTGAAGAAGACTCCTGAGAGTCCCTTGGACTGGAAGGGGATACAACCAGTCCATACTAAAGGAGACCAGTCCTGGGTGTTCATTGGAAGGACTGATGTTGAAGCTGAAACTCCAATACTTTGGCCACTTGATGTGAAGAGCTGACTCATTTGAAAAGACCCTGATGCTGGGAAAGATTGAAGGCAGGAGGAGAAGGGGACAACAGAGGATAAGATGGTTGGATGGCATCACCAACTCAATGGACATGGGTTTGGGTGGACTCGGGAGTTGGGGATGGACAGGGAGGCCTGGCATGCTGCAGTTCATGGGGTCGAAAAGAGTCAGATACGACTGAGTGACTGAACTGACTGATGTCAAAAATGCAAACAGACTGACGGTTCAGACTTTACAAGTTCATTAACCCTTTCAGTCAGCACCTGGTTCAGTCCCTTAAAGGTTTATACATTCTCTTCACAGCTCCCATCTTGCCGTGCTCTTTGCCACTGCAAAAAACATCCACTTTGTGAAGAAAGCAGTTCTGATTTCTCTAGCTGTTACAAAAACTGAGGTCCAGATTCCCCTCCAATTGCATATTCACTTATTTTCCATTTGTTCACTGGTTCAGTAAACCAGTGCTTATCAAGTGCCTGCCAAGCCCAGCGCTCTGCCTGGCATGGCGGATACACAGGTGAGCCGGGGCAGAGGTGTTCTCTGCGGTCACGGGACAGACAGGATAGAAGATGAGATGGTGGATGCTGTATACGTGAATCAGAGAATCACGAAATAATTGTGGAAGTCTGATCTGACAGGTTCTTTAGGGGAAAGATACCTGGAACAGTGGAAGCATTAGGACTGGTCCAGGGAGCTCAGGAAAGAATTTCTGGAGAAGAGATCCCGAGACAGACTCACAGCAGAGGCTCCAAACGGGCCGAGGCAGGGACTCGGAACAGGAGACCGAGGCGGAGGGAAGAGCCTGGGGACTAAAGGCTGAGGGGAGGCCAGGCCAAGGAGGAGCAAGGCCAGCATGATCACGGCACGAAGGGGCCGGTTGCCTGGCGCCCGTCCAGGCTGGAGCAGAGGACCTGCCAGCCCCACACAGCCACGCGAGCCTTACAAGCCCCATCGGCTTTCACCCCAGGAGTTCCAAGGGGCCTGGTGACTCTGAGATGGAGGCTCAGTGCAAGCAGGTACTTAGCTTCAGTAGCTTCTTGCTTATTAGAGGATGTACTGACCAGCAGGAGGGAGGAAGCAGACGCTAGCTAGGAAGTTACTGACCTGTCCAGACTGGATGTGACTGTCTCTCTGTTTCGGGAGGAGGCAGGGACGAGACAGTCCGGAGCAGTCACGAAAGGTGTTTGGAAGGTGGGATGGGAAGGACTTGGTGAGCTGCTGCTGCAGAAATGGTGTTGTGAGAGGCCCCGGGAATGACTAGACTTCCACTTCCAGCTATGCCAGACTCACTGATATGCCACACACAAAAATATATACAAATCACAACTAAGTGTATCAAAGATGCGTCACAACGTCGGTCACCGGACAAAATGCAAATGAAAGCCACAAGGAAACACTCCTATTCACCTGCAACGCGGAAAATCAGAAAAGCTGCTAATGCCGAGCGCAGGCAGCCCCGCGTGTCGCTGGTGGGGACGTGGAGAGATCCCTGGTTTGGGAAATAGCCCGGCGGTGGCACAGAGGTCATGCTTGGCTGTGCCCTGACCTGCTCCTGGGTCTTCACAGTCAGCGGCTTCCTGCCCGGCAGCCCCTCCCCAGCCTCCCCGCCTCTACCAATATTTAGTTACCTTTCAAGGTCAACAGACGTAACCTAAGAAGCTTTCCCATTTCCAGTGGAGCAGGTAGGTATCACCATCAGGAGAGCCTCCTAGCACCTTGCACTCCTTCTTGTAAGGATATCCAAGAGAGGAGTTAAATAATTAGGTTATTTAAATCACTGATTAAGATGACAACCCATGATTTAATTTCGCATCTCTTCATGGGAGTGTCAGCTTGGTGGGAGCAGGGCGTGTGTCTGTCTCTACCACTGTCTGACTCCAGTGCCTGCCCTGCACTTAAACGCTTTTGGAGTGAATGAAAAGTGAGTAAATTTATGTAGGAAACACAGGAGGAAGAAATACAGAAGAAAGAGTCACACGTTTGGTTTTGCAAACCATGAGGTTAAAATACATGTGGAATATGTAAAAGGCAGAAGCCTTCAGAAAGAATTCGATCCCCGGCTCCCATCAGACTTGTGGATTAAAATTAACTTGGTCGTTTGAGGAGAAGAAGAGATGCTTGCTCTGAACCTTGGCAATAGGAAGAAAATAACTATTAATGTAGAGCAGTGTTGCAGTGGACATGAACATCTTAGAGGGACTTGCATTCCACATACTTATTTATCTTCCTGGCCTAAAATTCTACATCAATTTTTTAGCAAAAAGAAATATTTTGTATAGAGTCTTGATGCCTTGATTAACTGAAAGATACTCATTATGGGAAATAAGATATAATTCAACCATACTTTTGTATGCAATTTCAGAAATAAAAGCAAACTAAAGCATAATGAATTGAGTTCACACTTTGAAAAATTCAAGCTTATCATTTCTAAAATCAAGAGGTTAAGTCTAATTTTCAGCATGTAATAATTTGTAACATTAAAGTCTGAAATTACTTCAAAGTGAAAAGCTAAACATTAACTTCTCAAGTTTGGACAGACAATTTAAAGCTGGCTGCAGCTTTCCATAAATATCCCTACTGGTTGTCGACATCGCTGACCTTGAATTTTACCTCTTGACCTTGATTCGTAATCTCCTCTTGTGTCGGATTCTTTTCTTTCTATGTTCCTTTTCTTACCCCCTCCCTTCTTTTCACAGCATATATTAAATACCATTTGTGCAAAGCACCATGTTAGGCATAGTGTGTACAAGAATGAAAACATACATATATATTATATACATATATATATTTTTTTCTTGACCCCAGGTCATGCAGATTTAGCTGGGGAGGTAAGCCGATGAACACACACACACACACACACACACACACACACAACTAAAAACCTACAATCCAATATGATAAGTATTAAGAACGATACATGAAAAATTGTTCGGTCACGCAGGGGGAGAAGCTAAGGGCAGAGCAGGCAGAGCTGGGGTCGATGGACCCCGATTTCTTCCACAATTTTTGTAAGAGGCTCTCTCTGACCCGGGACAGAGGCCGCTCATAACATCTTAATGAAGCCAACAGTGCGGGGAGTCAAGGCTTCCTGATGAAGATTTAAATCACCTCCCACGTGATTTAAGAAGCCGGATCCCAGCGGTGTGGGGTTGTTACTGTTTTCATCTCCCTTGTAACCACCTCCCCTTCTCTGGCATTAAATAGCAATCTAACAACAAACATTTCGATATCAGGCCTCAAGAAAAAAGCTCACAATACTGGATTTCTATATCTTCCTTTACTGAATATCTCACGTACACTTTAGTGGTTCTATGTAAAGAGAAGGTGTTATTTGCTCAGTCACGTCCAACTCTTTATGACCCCGTGGACTGCAGCCCGCCAGGCTCCTCTGTCCATGGAGTTCTCCAGGCAAGAATATTCGCGTGGGTTTCCGTTCCCTCCTCCAGGGGATCTTCCCCACCCAGTGATCGAACTGGGTCTACTGCATTACAAGCAGATTCTTTACCAACTGAGCCGCCAGGAAAGCCCAAGAATACAGGGGTGGGTAGCCCTTTCCTTCTCCAGGGGATCTTCCCAACTGAGGGACCGAATCCAGGTCTCCCACATTGCAGGCAGTTTCTTTACTTTTTTGAGCCACACAGTATAAAATTTGAAAGCACTGACAACCTCCTTCAAAAGTGGGAACTTGTTGCTTCCCAGGAAACAAGAGTAGAAAGGAAGACAGAGGGCTGTGAAGTGGCTCAGCCGTGTCCGACTCTTTGTGACCCCGTGAACTGCAGCCCGCCAGGCTCCCCCGCCCACGGGATCCTCCAGGCGAGAACACTGGAATGGGTGCCATGTCCTCCTCCAGGACAGAGCTCTATATGGCACGTAAAGGCTGTCAGGGCTGATTCTCCATGCACCTTCCAATCCCGCGTGAAGAGCCCTGTCCCGGCCAGTGACGAATGCCCTTGCCCTCGGCGTCCTACGGCCGGGACGCCTTCCACCAGTGCCACCAGCAGCGTGCTCCTCGGGCACACACGTGTGCACCCAGCACACCCATGCAGTCTCCTCCTCCGTCCATGACGGATCTGTCGATGCAGACGGCCTATGAGGAAGACGTGCTGAGGCTGCAGTTTGAAGACCATTTCCATAACTTTTGAGAGAACTGGCAGGTAGGAAATGAGTCAAGAGTTTAGATAGACTGTCGGGTAATCAGGAAACTCATTAGAACAGGAAAATAATCGCAGCCGCTTCAAATCGAGCAGGAATTCAGCCAGATGTCAAGGTGGAAGCTGCTGCTCTCTGCAGCACAAGCCTGTCTCCTCAACTTTGCTACAAGGGCCACGTGGGCCGTGGGTTCAAACAACAGGTTGACAGCTGCGGCTCCCAAATTGCCTTCATCTCTCGTGCAAGGGTAACCGCGGTGAAGTCACGAAAGACAGATTGATCTCCTGTTCAAAGAGTCAGAGTTCTGAAAAAAATACCATGACTGGGGCTCAGTGGCCTAGGCTGCTTGCATGAAATGCAAGAAAGGCATCAAGGGCAAGTCAAGAAATTAAGAGACACGAAAGCTGGTTCAAAGTTTACTCTGCTATTAAGAGATCACAGGCAGCACACTTTCCCAGTATTCAACTCAGTTGACTCACACGATGCTTAGCTTTCAGATTCCTCCACTCTGGAGGCAACAAAGTTCTCGAGTGTCCAGAGAATGGATGTGTGCATCCAGATTTTCACCGCCTCCCCATCGAACCAGCTTTCGGTTCCTCCACGCAGAGGAAACTTCAGAGGAGAGGCTTTTAGGAGTGATGTGGTTTGAATGCGAGCGAACTCGAGGAAGGCTGGATTGATGCCCTCAGCACGTTGAAGAGCTGATATGACACTTCCACTGTTCTGGTTTCAAAAATGGGCCCAGGGCCCCCACACATCACATACATCCATATCCTGAAGGACGATGTGGCCCCTGCAAGAACCAGCCATGGACATTTTTGACATGAAAGACCAAGGCAAACATTACATGTGATTTCCTGCTTCCACGCCCTTTGTCCTTGTGAACCCACCTCCCTGGAAAGTTCCTCTCACTCATCCTTTAAGGCCCAGATCAAATACCATACCCTATGGGAAGCTTTTCCTCCCCATCTACCATTTCATGGTCACTTATTGATTTGTGTCTCTGTTGTAGCTCTATTATGGATTATATCTCTATTAGTGTACTCATTACATTTTTTCTAAATGGGTGAGTGCCTCTGCGGCCTTCCCTCTGATAAATTATGAGCACAGACTATAATTTATTTATTTTATATTCTCAGTGCCTAGTATGGTGTTTGGCACATAGTCAGAAATCAGAAAATCATTATTGGTTTCATAGCTTCTGCATTCCAAGAACGTCGAAGATACTTAAAGGATGAAATAGCAACAAGGAGGTGGACAGAATGGAAGCTTACACAGGCAAGGACAAGAACACTGGAGTGGATGCCATTCCCTTCTCCAGGGGGTCTTCAGATGCCCAGGGAAACCATGAATGAATGAAATCCCTTTGATCTGACATCCACCATTACTTTCGATGTTCCCTTGATACCTCCAGTTTTGTTGAAGAGAAACTTCTCTCCTATTAAAGAACATCCTTCCACTTTCCCACAACCCTGGCACTCTTCTGCCATCCCCAGCATTCTAAAGCAGCTGCTTTCCATATGGGAGAACTCACGGGACAGATGTTGGCACTTGGGTGTTTGTCTAAATGGACAGGATCGCCTGGTGTAGATTTTTAAAGCCCCCAAGTCTCTGGAGCTGGCACATATCCTAGGAGAGCATTTGCTCAGGACCTTGGGGACCGCACTGATGAAGCTGAGGGTGGTTAACTAGGAGACCTTCGAAGGAGCCCTCCCAGACCCACCACAAACACCCACCCAGTATAAACTGTGCCCAATCCAAACATGTGAAAGAGTCTCTCTTCTCTCACACGTTCTTAAAGCAGACGAGTGTCCCGCGTGTTTGCTCCTGCTCACAACCACCATCATTTGCCCACTTGATGGTGAAGTCCTCGTAAGAGGTGAGCATGCCTCTGACGATTACATGATGTGTTAGAGGTTCTGACCAGTTCATGGGCTGGTGATAAGACCTGCAAACATTCAGCTTAAACATTTGATGAGTCCAGGGTTTGAAAGTGGCAAATGAAAAACAACTTAACATACGTATAACACATGTATAAAACCTGCACTCTTAGTATCCTTGTGTAAACTCTGGTTTATGGAAGTCTAGAGCGGGGCTTCCCTGGTAGCTCAGTTGGTAAAGAATCCGCCTGCAATGCAGGAGACCCTGGTTCGATTCCTGGGTCGGGAAGATCCCCTGGAGAAGGGAGAGGCATCCAGTATTCTTAGGCATCCCTGGCGGCTCAGCTGGTAAACAATCCGCCTGCAATGCAGGAGACCTGGGTTCAGCAGAGCAGAAGCATGTAGAACGTTTGTTAAAATGTAATCACCCAGAACACACGCAAGAGACTCTTTCAGGACCGTATTTACTGCTTCTGTCTATTCTCCTCCCATTGCCGGGTAAGCCCAATACTGGTTGAGATTCAATTTGTCCTAAGGTGGTGTCTCCTCCAGCTGCGAGCCTGTGAAATCAAACAAGTTATGTGCTTCCAAAATACAGTGGCAGGACAAGCATAGGACACACAGTCCCACCCCAAAAGAGAGAAATAAGAAAGAAGGAAGAGGTGACACGTTCCCAGCAAGTCCGAACCTCAAGGCTTTTTTTCAAGCTTGCCAACCTCGGCATCTCCCTGTTCTGTTTAATCCTCAGCCAGATCAGGTGCCCCATGCCAATAAGGCTTCCACTACCTGCTCACGCTGTGTATAGACTCGGGATGCATCTAGAATATTGACAAGCCCGCAATCTCTCCCCCACCAACACCTGGGTTTTCCAGGGGCTCCGGAGCATCCACACACGTGTGCCCTGCAGTCAGCAGCCAAGATGTGGGAACTCCATTCTCAGCCCTCCTTCAGCTCCCCCTTTCTAAAGACTCCCCTTTGAGTTTCTAGTTTCTCCACCACTCAAACCCAGCACACCACTGCTAGCTGGTTACACTGTCTTTTCTTTTCCTGAAAAAGCTGGGGGGATGAAAATGCCTTAAGGAAAGAAAGCTACAAATTTGTGGTTCTAACTCACAGCAGCAATAAAGATTTGCAAGTTTTGAATAAGCATAACAAGAAGCATGTAAATACTGTGTGATCCTCTCAAGCTTTTACACAAGCTCCAAATAGCAGCAAAGCTTATGAGGCACAAGCTTTACCAAGGTGCCTGCACAGGCAAGCATTCGTATTCCAGGGTTAGGACGGCTTTCATCCTTTGTCTGCTCACATGTGGAATAATACATGAATAATTAAGCAATGCTATTTTCTTTCAGGGCTTCCCAGGGGGCTCAAGTGTTAAAGAATCTGCCTGCTAATGCAGGAGATGCAAGAAACACAGGTTTGATCCCTAGGTCAGGAAGATCCCCTGGAGAAGGAAATTGCAACCCCCTCCAGTATTCTTGCCTGGATAATTCCATGGACAGAGCCTGACAGGCTACAGTCCACGGGGTCACAAAGAGTCAGACACGACTGAGGTGACTGAGCACATACACATTTTCTTCCAAGTGTTTTCAGTCTTTTTACAAAAATAAGCATTTTAAGTTTATAATAAGGTAGAAATGTATTCAATAAGAACATCTAGAAACTTAAAAATTCTGAAAACAGAATTTTTTAGATGTTGTGTTAACTTGAATTTCTACAATATCACATTTAGAACAGAATTTAAGTGCACAGTTGAGGCACTAGGCTCTCATACCTCCTGGTTTCTATTTACTTCTTACTTTATGTTTGGTGAGTAGATATCTACCTCAGAGTCACCTGAGGTGATGGTTACATTGTGCGTTCCTAGCCATCTCTGTCATCCTGTGTACAAATATTTCTAGGTAAAACTTAGGGAGTTTGTACTTTGAAGCAATTTTCCACGTCAACTGCTATGGTTACTGAAATTTCCTAATGAAGTTTTTTTTAAATATCAAGGTACCTATTTATTAATTACATTTTAGGACATTTGTGTTATTTTTCTTGACTTAATTATTTAATCATTTACTTAAAGAAAATATTTAAAACAAATCAAAATGGTATGATGCTTGAAGATTTTTTTTATCCTATTAGTTTTATATAGAACTTTAGAAATGTGTGTCCAGCAATAAAAGAATGACTACAAAGCTTTGGTAAGGAAGCTCTACGATATAAAATTTAATATTATATTAATGAGGGGAGGGATGGGAGGGGAAATGTCAAGTTGATAAAACACAATACGATTGTATATGTGCCATTGTTAAATCTATGTATATAAAAAACTGTACTGACATGAAGAGTAGAAAGAAACTCAGCTATGTTAAGATGATAACAGTATACATCATTACCAATAGTCTTCATTAATGCTTAATGTTGTAATAATACTTTAAGAAAAGAAATGTAAAGAAATCCACTCATCATGAAATTAAATAATACTGAGTTTTTAAAGAATCTTCAGCTTAAATCTTTTCCTGTGAAGCTTATTAAGCCTCGCTCCTCTAAACTCAGAATTTTCTAACCATAGCCTCAGGCAGCACTTGCAGAAAGAAGCTGAGGAGTCACCTTCCCAGAAGGAAAGGAGGGTTTGCAGGGGTGCTGAGCACCTGAGGAAGAGAGAAGCTCCAGGATCTAGGGGTCCGAAGATACACGGTGGGGGGCAGAGGGCCAGGAGCTCAGTTTCCTCACAGAGGCCTCAGGGCAAGGTGAGCCTTGAGGGGACACCTTTTGCGCCGGTTGTGAGCGGAGGGGGCGCGCAGAGGCGGAGGCGGGGACAGAGGATGAGGGGCAGACAGACCTCTGCGGTTCCCACGCGCACGCGCGGCATCTCGACCCTCGCCGCCCCTTCCCTGCAGACACACCCAGCATCTCGACAGTCACCGCCCCTTCCCTGCAGACACACCCAGCATCTCGACCCTCGCCGCCCCTTCCCTGCAGACACACCCAGCATCTCGACAGTCACCGCCCCTTCCCTGCAGACACACCCAGCATCTCGACCCTCTCCGCCCCTTCCCTGCAGACACACCCAGCATCTCGAC